GAACATATGTCATGTCTGCACTTGGTCAAATGCACTGCTGAGAAATGAGGCAATTTTGTCTGAAGACAATTGTACTTCCAGAACATGAAAGCAAAGAAAGGGTTCATTGTGTAGCTTTGGAAATGCAGTTGTTTCATTAAAAAAGATGAGCTCTAATAATAGTAAAAGTGGCAGAGACCCAGTCTGAAAAAACTCTCAGATCCTACTGTAAACAAGACCTTCATTTCGAATTCAGGCATCTTCCATTTTTAACACAACTCTGCTGCTGCAGCAACCTATTTTCCGCTCCTCCATAAACCACGCCATAGTCAAGAACCAAGAAGTCTTCCAGCCACCGCTCCATGACTGTGTTGGGGTAGGGCCTGAAATCACACGTCCTGCAACAGCATTGAATGTCGCCGGTTGTAAAGCAAACCGTGGCTATCACTGACAGGTCACATGAATCACCTGCAATGGACAACTTCTTTTCTGAAACTAAGAACTAGTAGGACATCCCATGTATATTTAAAAAAAAAAAAAAAAATTAAAGAGCCGATCTGTGCAGAAAGGTTCCCAGACTCAAAGGCCATTCCCAAGCAGTGTACTCTTCACCAATTAAAACATAAAACCACAGCACCTTGCACATTTCTACAAGGCCTTTCTTTCGTGAAGCATGAAGCCCATTTCATTACTGTGCGGCTGTCACCCGGCATTCCAAAGCGGACTACGAGAAGCTGTTACAAGATTTGTGTAAGATGGGCCACAGCGCTGCTGCTTCCTTGTTAAAGGAAAAGACTTGTTGTGTCAACAAAAGGTTTATGAGTTCAGAATCATACTTTCTCCTGTGGCTTTTACCACACACTATTAAAGCTTTAGATTGAAAATAGAGCTAATTTTGCCCACCTACTTCAGTAACAGTAGGCAATACATGGAACAGCTCATATGCCAAGAGACTCTATACAGCTTCCTCTAGCCAACAGGAAAAGCTTAGCAGAAAGTTTCTGAAACCAACCAAGACATTCCAGCAAAAGATTCCCACCCTTGACTTCCAGCCAGCTCTACCAGGTGGTGTCTGGTAAATATTTTTCAGCCCCTGAATATAAATCCCTAGACATCCAACTCCCAAGGAAGAGCTGGTAGTCACTCCTGTTTCTCCCTACACTCATTAGATGGGTATATGTACGAAGTCTTATAGAGATTTTTTTTTTTTTTTTTTCCCAGCAGCATGTTCAGTTTTGAGAATTACATAGTTTATAGAGAGGTCCCAAGTCAACAAGACTTAGGCTTCTCAATATCACTCCTAAAAAAAAAAAATCCAAACAAAAAAACCTGAAGAAACCGCTTGGCTTTTATCCTCCCTAAGGAGAAAGAGGGAATTAACAGCATCTATTTTTAGGCATCAAACTGTTGGTGCCTAGGTGAGCAAGCCACTCACCCTCTAAAGGCAATGTGAGGAAGACGGAGTGCTGCAGAGCCAGGAGCAGTTGCTCCGAATCGTCTGGGGGAGAGCTCTTCCCTCTCCTCATGCCCTACTTAGTGGGCTGGTTAGACTACCAAAGGCCTTTCAATAGACAGGAAATCAAGGTGTCTCAATTAAGTAAACCAGAGGAATGAATACTTACTAGTAGAGTTATCATTGTAATCCCATGCCTCAACAAGCAATGTGTAGGATCTCTGCAAAAGAGAAATAAGAGTTAGTTTCAAAGCCACACATGACTGTAAGAAAAAAAAACAAAACACCACAATTTTAATTAAAAAGAAAACTCCTGGTCTCTGCCCTAAAATGGAATACTTGAAAACATAAATAGGTAATAGATTATACTTGAGACAAACATGATCTTCTTGAAACCCCATAAGCTACCTTATCCAGTCTGACTTAGAAGACCTTTCACCTTGGATAGCTCATCTTTGTCATCCTTAATGCATCTTATGTACTTAACCAGGAAGTACAGCCTTTGACACTATGCTGTAGCCACAATAAAGCATGTGTGGAAGAATTGCACATGGAAGACAGAAAACACCGGGCTAGCATAGCAGCATCAAAAAACCAAAACCAAATCCCCACCCTCAAAAACTGCTTCAAAAGAATTTTCGTTACAGAAAAGTAGGCTTGGTGTCCCTTCCCCCAACCATCCTGAAAGCAAGAAGTGTTGCTAAGATTACTGTGCTCTGCCTTGACAGTGCAATCTCTAGGGACTTTGCTTTTCAGCACCCCCTTTGAAAGCTTTGTCTGCATGAGGGCCATCGCAGCTCCCACAAGTATCAGGTAACTGAGGGAAGAACTGATGGATATGGGAAGGGGGTGGGGTGAGAGAGAAGTATTGTAAAACAAAGGCTAAGACCAGACTATTTGGAAGAGCAGGGAAAGGGAAAACGCACTATCCACCCCGTGTCACATTTACAGACGCGCTAATCTGCCAATGAGCTCTCCAGCACTCCAGTAATAATAATCATAAGCATAAACTAACTGAAGTAACTCTATGGGTTGGAAAGATGCCAGCTATTACATCTAAGCCACCTTTATCTTCAATCCTAACTTGAGAACAAGAGCCATTAAAAGATCTTCTCCTCCCCCAGCTCTACTCCGAGACATTCTTATCCAGGCTGTATCTTTCAAAATGGCCATTTAGCCAGCCACATCCAAACTCACAGAATGATTCAAAGGCAAAACAAAACAATACACCCCCCCCCAAAAATAAGCTGAGGAAAAATAAGAAAAACACATGAATTGAAAAGTAAAAAGTATAACAATAACTATAAATGAGGTAATAAATGTAACATCTTTCTGGTAAGCAGAACAATAATAGAACAAATAAAAACTCTCCATGAAGGGTTTTGATGCTTTGCCATAGAAGCTGTGTATCGTAAGGTTTATTTCTTCTTAATTGTATCTGGGCTCAGTCACAATCTGCTCATTTGTGGTCTGCAGCACTTAACACCTTTTCTTTAATAAAACCAAAATACAGTTCTGAGAGTAAGCTGCTACAAGGTGCAAGTGTAAGGCAGATCTCAAATTCCTTAAGAGGAGAGGAAAAAAAAAAAGCAGCAGCAGGAAAGAAAAAAAGAAAAAAAAAAAAAAAAGAGTTGAAGCAGATTGCTTTCTCACGACTGGACACAGCATGCAGCCTCTGAATGAAAACCTAGTTTGTGATGGACACCGGCTTGAAATATAGCCTAAATATGTTTCATATTCAAAGCAGACTAGGATTCCATTTCGTTCACTGATAACTGTGGGAAAAGGCTTCCAAAAGTAAGCAAAGCTGGGCAAGCCGAGACATGCACCCAAACTTCTATGCAGAGGCTCCATTGGCCCAAACCATTTTTGGTTAGTATTTCATGAAAGTTACATGTTATTTGTTGCTATTCTAGACCAAGCCTGTCAACTTGAAAGAAACCCTGAAAATAAAGTAAAACACAACATGATCATTTAACACTGTTTAAAGCAGATTTAAGAAGTCCTTACACAAGTCAGAGGTTAAAAACCCAACCAACTAACCAACCAAAAAAAACACCAAACCAAACAAAACCAGAATAGAACTCCCAAGCCATATTATAGATATAGATTGCACTATCTTGGGTGCTTCCTCACTGGTTTAATTACCAACATTGAGAAGCACAAGCACAACATGTTACTGCAAGCTTGAAAAAAAATATTATGATATAGAGAATGAATTATGGCAACTAGCACTACTTCCAATAAAGTTAAGGATGTTTTCCTTTCGGCCTTGCATAATTGTTTTGGAAGATATTTTGTCTAAACTCATAGCAACAGTTCCCGGTTGGTTCTCAGGACTGTTTACCAACACACCTAGCCCTTAAGGAAAGGAAAGGCTGAATCCTAGCTTTAAGTGCTACTGTTGCTAGATACTTGTGTGACCACTTTCCAACACCACACACAGGAGTTTGCTTAAAGAGAGGAGATGCTTCTTCTTAACTGGATGGAAACAAAATACAGGGGGAATAGACCTACCCTAACAATTCCCTTGTTTCTACGTGCCCCCTCTCACCTCATCTGAATATTTTAAATGAAGAATCCCTGTCCTGAAAAGGGATGATACAAAGAATGGCAGTTTAATCTCTTGGCTCTGTCCCTCTTAGCACGGGGCAATGAAAGGATAAGACTTAGTGTTCAAGATGGGACACTTCTAAACAAAAGACACACAGACACCCACAGCCCCACAACAACAGTAGCAAGCCCCCCTCAACAATCCAACTATTGCATACCTCTAGCCAATTCCCGACCCCCCCCAAAAAAGCAGTTCTGTGCAAAGACTGCGCTGTTGAGATTTTTTAAAAGTGCGTATCATCCCCACTCTATAGATCAACAACTCAGATATCTCAGGAATGACTACTTACAGCGTGGAGGTTTAAGTTTTCCCATGCCCATAGGTGACCTCTGCCCATCTTTGAATAAATATATACATCCAGACACAAGAATTCCACCATCATGCACTTTATTCCATCAAAGCAATGTCCTAGGCAACAAGGCAGCAGTGAACTTTCCAGAGTCACACCCAATTAGCCACTGTAAACCTGAGCTTGACCAGAAGGCAGGGATTCTGGCTTGAGAGGAAAAGCAGCTTGAAAGAACAGCAAGCCAGCACACTTTGCAGAACATCCACAGTCTGATCAGCCCAGAAGACTGAAAGGCAGCATGGTCAAACTTAAGCTTAACACACAGGAGTTTTGCTATCTGAGGATGGAAACTGTTAAGTTCACACTCCAAAAAAACAAAGAAAGCACCAATGTGCAAGGGCTATTTTCCTGAATGACAAGACACCACGATTTAGTCTTGATCCATTGATAATACAACTCAAGAAAAACTTTGAAGACCCTGAAATCCATCAGAAACTGTCCCTTTTAAGGGTCTGAAAGGGCAATGCAACGTCTTTTCTGATTGTTTAAATGAAATACTAGCAGCTCCAGGTAAGCAGAAGGTGTTTAAAGCTCTCGGCTTGATTACCTTCTTCCCTCCCTTCATCCAGACATCCACCCAAAAGAGATGTTTTTGTACTTTGGCTTCTAAAGGCATTCTGTGAGTCAGTGGGACAGAGCAAGATTAAAACATCAGGCTCATTAGTGAAAGGACTGCCTCCTTTTTGAAGGAGGTTGCAACCAGTCAAACTTCTTTCCCTCCTATCCTTGTGGTTAAACCATACAAGAGCTTTGCTGAGCATGTGAAACCATGACTAGACAAATGCAGTGGGAAGTTTGCATTCTGAATGCTGCGCCTGCTCCTCCTCTGCCAAACAAGGAGAGCAGGTTAAGCCCAGCAACGTTCTCCTCACGCTCTGCCAGCCACACACAGCTGTGAAACGAAGACCAGTTTGAGAACGGTGCTTGCACCCTGCCTGCGTCCTAGGGTAGAAGGCTAAGAGACTGGCTCACTGTCACAGCAGGCCACAGCAAATTGCCAAGAGCTCTGGCAATCCCTCCTCCCTTCAGCTGGAAGAGAGTGAGATAGGGAAGAGGGAAACTGAGGCACTATTTCAAAGTGCCCAAGGGCCAGGGAGGAGGGCATCTCTGAGCACAGTTAAGGCTAGTCACAAAACCACTTCCTCTAAACGTCAGCAGGACTCTCACTTGGGTACCTCTGTTGCCACATGACAAGTCACGATGACACTATACAGATGCATCACAACGTCATGCCATGGTCAGCCAGTCAACTTTGACAATAAAATATTCCTTCAAAGGAGTTGAAGACAACTGGTTCCTCATCCAGAGGAGATATGGATGTATTTGGGAAAAGGAGGGAAACAACCTAACCCTCTTAACCCTGTGTCGAATGCAACATCATCAGGAAGCTCTTCTTTGGGCCAGCCTACATAAGAATAAGGCAACACCCTGTAAAGCTGTTACTCTCTCAAACCTGCGTATATAAACAAAGTCTAAGCTGTAACGATCTCACGCCTCAGAGTCCATGGCCAAGAGCTAGGCTGAACCTCAAGCAGGCAGCCCAGCCAAGAGCCTCATCAGAATATGCCCACATGAAAACAGAGCACACTGTTCCTTTAGTCTTCATTTTGAGTAGCTCCTTCACAGCTGTTAGTGCCGGTAAACACTTCATTGCCACATAAAGGAGAAGACATGAAAACAAATTTAACTATATTAGCAGCTTCCAGGAGAGACTTCCCCCCCCCCATTCTGCCTTGGCACAAGCCAAGCCAGTAACCGAAGTCAAGACCTTCTCTGCGATACAGCTGCCACCCTCCTGCCAAATGATGAAGGACACAAAAGTACCGCTATCCAAACTATGCATACGCTCAAGCGTCCAGTAAACCAGGCTGATCTCTGATCTGGCAAGCCTGCTGGAATAATGAGTATCCTGTGAATACATAATGTGCTGAAGTTGCCATTGTGTGAAGTAAGTCCATGGTTTGTCTGGAAGCCGAGCAATGCTGAGTCTACTGCTGCTTCCTGTTGCTTGTCCTGTATTAGCATTATTTTTGGATAGGCCCCATTATGTTCTGTAATCCTCACTGCAGTCAGTATGGCCATACTATTGTTCTTGGTTAATATTAGCAGTCAATGCCTCTGTCTGGGTGGCCGGACAACAATGTATTCCAATCAGAAAACTAGCATGCATTAACCGAACAATGTACTGGGATAGAGCGGGGAGACTTGGGGTCCTCCCTCCTCCCCTCCTTTAAAAAAAAGAAAAGAAAAAAGTATAG